TTCATCTTCAGGACGAAAATGGAGTCGCTGTATCTGAGCTTTCTTGCGCTACTGTATTAAATAATTATTTCTCATCTGTGTTCACCTGTGAAAATACCACTGATATCCCATGTTTACCCTTGTCCGACTTTGTGCCTATGGCTTCCATTGACATTTCAGCCGATGGAATACTTCACCTCATAGGAAGATTAAAACTAGCGTCATCTTGTGGTCACGATAATATAAACCCGAAAATTCTTAGCAATACCAAAGTTACATCTAGTGACTGTCTTAAATTGATCTTTTCTCAGTCACTGGAGCAAGGTTGCTTACCCTTGGACTAGGAGCTGGGCAAGGTCGTTCCAGTCTTTAAAAGCGGCGATCGTAAGCTGCCCTCGAACGACCGTCCCATTTCATTAACCTGCATTGCGTCCAAACTTCTTGAGCATGTAATATTTTCTCACATTATTTCCCACCTAGAAAAAAATAGCTTTTTTTATAATCGCCAGCATGGTTTTCGGAGGGGCTTCTCGTGCGAAACGCAACTTGTAGAGTTCACTCATTAACTTTTCACTAATACTGACTCACTAAGCCAAACAGATGCCTTGTTCCTTGATTTCTCAAAGGCATTCGACAGAGTTCCTCATAATCGCCTAATCGATAAACTTTCTTGTCTTGGCATTGACCCTCTTATTGTCTCCTGGATACGTGACTTTCTTTTTTCTCGGAACCAGTTCACTGTGGCTAACAACCATAAATCAAACTACAGTCGCATCACTTCTGGGGCTCCTCAGGGATCCGTGCTTGGACCTTTACTGTTTCTAATATTTATTAACGATTTACCTAACTCAATCACGTCTAGCATCCGTCTCTTCGCGGATGGCTGTGTTCTGTATCGCAAAATTAATTCTCACAATAACCATCTTCAGCTTCAAAGTGATTTAAGTTTAATTTATGCTTGGTGCTCCAAATGGCTTATGTCATTGAATATGTCAAAATGCCAGCTGGTTTGCTTTACTCGGAAAAAAAAACAAGCAACTTTTCATATTTTATTGGCTCCAACCTAGTTCACTCTACATCTTATTATAAATACCTCGGTGTAACGATGACAAGTGATCTAATCTGGAATAAACACATCGAAACTGTTGTGGCAGAAGCTTCCCGGACTCTGGGGTACATCAAACGAAATTTGAAAGAAGCGCCCTCTCACTTGCGAAAATTGGCCTACGAAACATAAGTGCGACCGAAATTGGAATACGCATCAGCCATTTGGAGCCCACACCAAGCTTATCTCATCAGCCATCTTGAGTCTATCCGAAATCGTGCTGTTAGATTTATCCTAAACGACTCTTTCCCAACGACTAGTGTTTCGTCTCTTAAACGTCAGCTCGATATCCAAACTCTCAACGTACGACGTAAAATAACACGCTTAAGGTCGTTTCATAACGTTTACCATTTTCACCCAATACTCAGGGTTGCAAGGTTGGGCTATTAATAGCCAAATTGGGCTACTTTGTCACGCATTTGGCGTCGGAATTTGGCGGTTGGCTATGTGGCTATTTTTGGGCTATTTCAAATCCTAACACGGCACGTTTTTTTTTTTGTTTTTTTTTTGCTTGGTTTAGAATGGATGTACAAAAGACACTTCAGCATGCACACAAAGCGACAGTCCATTTCACCTCCACCTTTTCTGGGTTCGCGATTTCAGGAGTATTCTGTGTGAAGGTTCGTAGGCATGATGCCAGAAACCTATTAGCTCTAGTGAGCTACTGTGACCTAGATTCAGCTCCGACGACATCGCTTTTGTATTAATTGTGGCTTATTTTATGCTCCCAAGTTCTTTCTGCTTCCACCTGGCGTCTCTGATTTTCTCGAGTTTTCCACCATCCTCCTACAGAAAACGCCTCATCCGACAGAAAAAAATGATACCAACGTCAGCTCAAGACATCCTGCAGAATTTGATGTCGGCCGATAACGCGTGCTGTACCAGATATAACAAAAGCTTTTCCACAAAACATGGAAGTTTCTTAAAGCACAATGAGCCATAACAAAATACAACAGATTTGGGACAATGAATATTTCGAACAAGGCCAAGATCAATGCGCAGGAGCAGCCCTGTTTCCGTCGCTATCTGTTGCGCAGCCCGCTAAGCACCCGGATAGCGCTCTGTAATGCGCCGCAAGACCTTGAACTACACTCTAAAAAAAGGGTGTAGTACCAACACCCGGTGGGGTGTATGTGACTTGTCCCATATACGACACCCCCATGGGTATATATGCGACACCCCAAAAAGGGGTGCATATATGCACCTCATTTTGAGGTGCACATGTGCACCTCAGCGGGTGCATAAGACACACCCCACCCCGGGGTGTACATATACTCCGTTTCTCACTTACTGGGAATACTGATACACCCCATTTTTAGGTGTACATATATTCCGTTTCTCACTTGCTGGGAATACTGATACACCCCATTCTTAGGTGTACATGTATTCCGTTTCTCACTTACTGGGAATACCGATACACCCCATTCTTAGGTGTACGTATATTCCGTTCCTCACCTACTGGGAATACTGATACACCCCTCTTTTAGGTGCACATATATTCCGTTTATCACTTACTGGGAATACTCATACACCCCATTCTTAGGTGTACATATATTCCATTTCTCACTTACTGGGAATACTGATACACCCCATTCTTAGGTGCACAGATATTCCGTTTCTCACTTACTGGGAATGCAGTTACACCCCATTCTTAGGTGTACTTATATACCGTTTTCCACACCCTTCCCACTTACTGGGAACCGAGAAACCCCACTCTTAGGTGTACATGTGCGAAGTCAACAAAACTAACACTGGAACATTTTCCATCAAATTGACAGAAAATGTCTTTGCAGCTCTTTTCCAAGCTTTTAACCGTCAAACGACGGTGTTTTGTGTCATTTTCATGTCCCATTTGTCAACCCGAAAACAATTAGGCTGCCAATCCCACATTCTATCGTCATATCATTATATGGCCTGGCATCATTTTGACGTCCTAACTGTCAACCTGAAATACAATTGAGAGCATTTGTGTTACTCCTGCGAATATAACATTGTCAGGATCATGCAAAATTTTATAAAATAAGCTACGAAAATTGGTATCTGTTCCTACATATTTATTGCTCATAAACACTGGGTGAAACATAAACTACAAAAAATACACATTGAATGCATGCACCAGAAATGTCGCTTGTTTTTTTTTCTTCTTCTTCTTTTTGCATGTCTTGTCTTTTAGTCTTCTGCCTTGGGTGTTGACCACCAAAAAGAGCCATGGAGCATTCCTGAAAAGCAAAACCCAGTTGCATACCATGATTAGATACATATAGGACACTGTCAAGGCCCCACACCTTACTTAATGAGCACTACGAAAAACCAGGAACTCAGCCAACTTCATAAATATTTTGCACACCACTGAAGAATAGTGGGGTGGAAAGTTTACCACTTTAGATACAGATGCAAGGCTGGAAAACCGAAAACACAGATAAAAAGCATGTGTTTTCAATATACTTAAACAACTGATTTTTGGCGGTTTTCAACAATGCCAGCCTGTTTCTTATTGCAACTGTGTTTATTTTTTACTAATAAAATGCACAATTAGCCAAAAAATGCCATAAGCAATCTTGTACTCAGTGGCGCCTAACCAGATAAACGAATGCCAACATCAGAGGTGTCCTAATGCAAGCTTCCTTTAACAAAATTTTGGACCATCTAAAACAGTGCTCTCAAACACATTTGAGTGTAGAGGCCAGATAGCCCACCCCCAAAAGATCGAGGGCTTCTGTAAGGCATGGGGGTCAAGAAATTTGTTAAAGGGACCTTGCGGTCTCCACATTTTGTAACTTGCAATCTTGACAGTGACATTTTTAGCCGTGATTCATTTGTAGTGCTCCCCTTACCCTTTCCTGATGCAATCACAAGAATTAAAATGGTACTGCCGCCAACATACTGGCATTTTGTAAGAGGACAAGAGAAGAAGTACACTGTTGTTGCCGTTGCTTATTTCACTCAGGATATATTCAAGCTCAACATGTCTCGAAAGGATGCCTTTTGCTTTTCTGGGAATTTCTGATAGCACCAGTCTGAGCGAATGATTGTATTTTAATGGTGATATTTTCTGAGGGCGAGAATCCAGAGCTCATGAATTTATCTTTGGTGGTTGCATCTGACAAGCGAGAGTTCATACAGTTGAAGTGCATCCTTGGGCAAAGAGCTCGTGTTTGCAGCCTACCAGCGGAATGGTCGTGCAGGTGCTAAATACTAAAAAAAAAGACGGGGAAAAAAATAGAGACTAAACCCCTAAAAAATAAAAACGAAACTACATTAACTATGTGGACATGTTACAAGAGCATAGCTGCGTTTCCAGCGTAAATGAATAGACCGATCACACCAAGCGTTCCACGCATGCGTGACGCCGCCATAACTGTAATTCGTAGGAGGCAGACGCCAGTTCACGCGACAGCTCATGCTGCCTCGTGGTCTACTCGCGCAAACCTCCAGCATGGTTGTCGCGCGTGTAGAAAGACTACAGCTCCCACGATGCATATCGGCAGCGGTGGCGTACTCAAACTACCTGGTGAGATCGGTCTATTAGCGACATATTGTAATGCATGCCATTTGTAATGCTCCTTATGAGAACAGGAGCTTGCAGCTGGTTTCCTGTGGGCCGTGTTCAAGCAAGTCGCGAGCTGCGTCTTCAAGCACTGAGAGATTGAATTTACCCAGTTATTACCTGCCAGTGCATCATAATCTGTACAATGGTGAATATATTCCGAGACACTACTTGCTAGCAGCACAGGCTAAGGCAGTGCCCGAAGAGGGGAAAGGGAAAGCGCTAGAAAGGCGGGTGAGGAGAGTAACCTCCTCTCCTATCTAACATTCATAGTGCTTTCCCCCTCTCCCCCAGCCCTGCCCTCCCCTCCCATATGCCTTCCTAGCGCTCGCCTTTTCTCTCTTCGCATGACATTGCATTCACCTGCACTACACACAACTAGCGACACGGAGTATAATTGAAGGACGGTACACTCACAGATGTCAAAGCACTTGAAGAGTTCGCAACTTCGGTGCAATGCCACTGGTTGCACTTTTGTATCGCACTTCAGATGGGTTGATTTGCCCGAAGTACCTGAAAAATAATAAGAATGATAGAATAAATTAATGTGCCATAAACCAGGGCTGGGCAGACACACTCCAAAAAGTATTCGGGAATACTGAGATACATCTGCTTTAAGGCCAAAAATACAGATACTGAGATACACTGTCTTTTATGCAATGGTATATCCCCGAGGCACTTCTGCGAAACTGGTGAAAAAGTATTCAGGAATACAGATACAATGTGTAGTTGTATCTGTATTGTAGAGGGTGTAGTTCGTGGGGAATATGTACGGTCAGTGGCGTTCCAACTTGTTTTCGAGTCAGGAAGGGGGGGGGGGGGGGGGGGAGTGCTCTTGGTACGGTATCCCTTGGGCGCCGCCGGCCAGTCTTTAACCTGCCCTGTGGCGGCTGTTTTAGGGGAGTGGCAGAGGGGGGGGGGGGGGGGGCGGGACAACACAAGCCTCGCGCCCTCCTTGCCCCGCCCCCCCCTCCCCCCCCCCCCCCTCCCCGGTTGGTACGCCCATGTGAATGGTATTTATGCTTTGCTCGTTTTTTGTGCCATTTTATATGCGGTCCTTCTTACTTCAAACTCTTTATTTATCATTAATGCCGCTAAAGAAAACATGTCGCCCCCGTTGAATCAAATAGTTACAAAATGGTAAAGACTGCGTACCATGCTTGACGAAAGGCGTCTGCCAAAATTAAACCTGTTTTGCCGTGAGGGCAGCCTGTGCATCAGAGATTTGAATCATCAGTACATGTAATCTAACCAAGTACCAAGCCTAATCACAACAATATAAGCCTAGCAGTCTGACAAGTAAAGAAGAAAAGAAAACAGGGTCCACCGGATAGTCAATTGCTCACCTTGCCAGACGGTGCCTCGGGACTATGGCGGCATCTGCTAGTTGCAGAGCTTCTAGTCTGTGCATCAGAGAATAGGCATTAGCAAACATGATCTATCCAAGCACCAAGCCTAGTTTCACAATATACGCTAACAACCTGAGAAAAAGAAAAACAGTCTGCAGCATAGTTGATTGCTTACCTTGCCAGACAGAGCCTCGGGACTATGGTAGCGTGTGTGCTACAAGCAGAGCCTCTCGCCTGTGAATTAGATTACTCATTAGTATACGTGATCTAGACAAGCACCTAGCCTAGTCACACAATTTTACTTAGCAGCCTGACAAGTAACGAAGAAGAAAAAAAGAAAATAGGGTCCGCGGGGTAGTGAATTGCTTACCTTGCCAGAACGTGCATCGGGACAATGATGACATCACTGCTAGGTGCAAATAGTCATTAGTAAACGTGACCTAGCTAGACACCAAGCCCAATTTCACAATACATGCATTACAAACAAAAAAAAAACAGTGCAGGATAGTTGGTTGCTTACCTACCCAGAAAGGGCATCGGGACTATGGTAGCGACTGTGCTACAAGCAGAGCCTCTCGCCTGTGCAGTAGAGATGAAAGTCATTAGTACACGTGATCTAAGCTAGCACTTAGCCTAATTTCACAATATATGCTTAACAATCTGACAAGAAAACAAAAATCAGCAGGCTAGTTGATCGCTTACCTTGCCAGACGGTGCCTCGAGACTATGGCGACATCTGTGCTAGCAGCAGAGCTTCACTCCTGTGCGTTAGAGATTCGAGTCATTAGCACACGTGATCTAACCAAGCATCTTATGTTATCTCACACTTCACAGGTGCCTGAGATGACTTGCATACTACAAGCACAAGGAGACACTCGAGTTTTTGAACCATTAACACTGCGACACTTAATTGTTGCTGTAGTGTGACAAAGTGTATGCTTCACAAATGAAAAATGCAATAAAACGTGTAGTCTAATCTTACAAATTTTGCCCAAGAAAGAGTCTGACAAGTAGGGTACCAACATGACAATTCAAAGTTAGCCAAACTCGAGCTTCGCAAAAGTTAGCATCCGCGGGTACAGCCACTACACATGTTTCCGAATAGAGCTCTCAAAGTAACGCCAAACTGAGCACCACACACACCGAAGCTGGTGAATGCTGTCCTAGAGTTTCTGCATAGGCTCTCTACGGGAGTCAGAGTTGCGCGTCTGTTATCCACACGCTGGCACGCCGCTATTCGCCTAGATCCGATCATGTGAGGAGCAAAATCCAAATACGTGCAGGAAAGCCGCCGATACGGCCGTTTCGCCGACGTTGCAATCTCCTCAGCGTACGTTCCCCTGCTTTTGTCTCCTCTTCCTTTCCTGCTTTTCAGGAAAGGAGAAGGAGCACGTTGCTATTCGCACAATCCGGTGAGATGAGGAGCAGAATTTCGTCCCCTGCAGGAAAGCCGGTGCTCCGGGGTGAACGCGCAGCTCTGGCTCAGGGTTGGCAGGTTGGGCTATAAACAGCCCAATTGGGCTACTCAGTTTTGTAATAGGCGGGAAACTCTGGTGGTTGGCTATTAAGCTATTTCATACGCGATATTCAACAATGTTCAAAGCCTTAAACATGATATTTCTGCGCCGGGTAGAGAAAAACAATCAACTCAAGAGGTTAGGAAAGGAAAGTATCCAAATCACAAGCGTGCAAATACAATATGTGGACCCTCATTGGTGTTGGTTGCGGAGGTGCAATATCGTTTTTCCGAAGTTTTTTGACACGATTTAATACCGCAGGCAAGGGTGGAGGCACGTGTTTCCAGAAGGAGGGAGGAAGAGGAGTGGGGGCAGCTTAACAGATGTTTGAGAACCCCTTTCTTTCGCTGCACTAAAATATACATGGGGACGCTTTATCCTCCTATTGCCTTCTTCTGTAAATAATTGGCTTATGTCATGTATCATGTTACCCGTGTTCCAAAGAGTTGTAAATGCCTTGTATGAAATTTTATGTGTTGGGCTATTTTTATAGCCCGACATTTGGCTATTCTTGGGCACAATACCAGGAAATTTTGACGGGTTAATCTGCAAATACCTGGCAACCCTGCTCTGGCTACCGTAGGGGGCCCCCGCAGGAACTCCATGCTGCCCTAGAGTTCCTGCAGAGGCAGCCTGCGGGAGTCAGGAGTTGCGCGTTCATCCCAGTAGCTCCGACTTTCCTGCACTTCAAGTCTGCTCCTCACGTGACTGAATTCGGGGAATAGCGGCCGCCGCGCTCTACCTCATTTCCTGGAAAGCAGGACAGGAGGAGGCAAAAGCGGGGGTATGCACACCGAGGCGCTTGCACCGTCGGCGAAGCCGCCGTACCGGTGGCTTTCTTGCACGGCATTTGGAGTCTGCTACTCACGTGATCGGATATCGGCAGATAGCGGCGCGGCGGCATGTGGAAGACAGACGCGCAACTCTGGCTGGAGCCAATAATCTCAATGCTGCACTGGAGAACCAGTTCCTGTATAGGCTCCCTACGGGAGACAGAGTTGCGCGTCTATTTTCTACGTGCCGCCGCGCCGCTATTTGCCGAGATCCGACCACGTACCGTGCAAGAAAGTAACGTTGCACGCGCCCCGCCGTACGCACCCCTGCTTTTGAGCGCGCCTCGTCGGTTCGAGAGTCAATGGTTCCAGTACCCTCTCCCTCTTCGTAGTGGCCGAGCAGGGAGGGAATATGGTTTCGTTGTGTCGACCTCGGGGGCGGAAGATTACGCGCGATGAGGACAAAGGCGAGTTTGGGGGAGCAGTATCTAGGTCACAGCGCCTCAATGGTTGAACAGGATGTAGCTGACGTTTTGGGTGTGGAACGGGTAAGAGACCCCGCTCCAAAAACCCGCAGACCCATGGGGTTATGAAACCGTGTGGGTCCCAAAGAAATTGTGTGGGTGTTCGGGTCCCTATGGGTCCCCGCACAGTTTGTTTGGGTGTGCGGGTCCCCACAGAGTGTGTGGGTGTATAGGTCCCCATGGGTCCCCGCACAGTCTGTGTGGGTCTACGGGAGCTGTGTGGGTCCTGCAGAGATCCTATAGGAGCTGTGTAGGACCAAAGTCCCGTGGGAGCCGTGTGGGTAACCCATAGGGTTTCATAACCCCATGCTCTGTGGGCAATCTCTGTGGGAACCTGTGGGGGAATGCATGCTTGACACCGTATTTCACTGCAGACCATTGCCAAGAACCGGCTGGTTCTATTTTTATTTACCGATTGGCTCTTCATTTCTCTTGCTTTCGCCGGTCGTTCATTTTTTCTCCCAGTATGTGGTTTACTTTTGCTGTCCTCGACATTACAGCAATGACATCTGCATGGTGCTTTTGGCCACGGAGCTTCATCATTAGGCATTCTGAAAAATATGCAATGACAAAATATTTAAAGGAGCACAATTTGTAGACGTAAGGCTTGAACTAATGTTCATTAAAATCACATGCCACATCACTTTCATGAACAGTTTCATTTGGAATAGCCTTTAATAATGACGCTCTTGAAGAATGCAATTGCAACATGCCCTATAAAATCAATTAAAAAGTTAATTAACAAATCTGGGTTAATTAGTCAACATATTGTGACGGTTATCCCCTTATCTATGTCTGCCGAGCCCCACAAATCTCTCGCCCTCTTTTTTTAAATTACGTTCAAACTAAAATGGCACATTCTGTATGATGCTGAACCCGATTATATCGAACTTTGTATCAAACTTTGTGAACAGACTAGTAGCTGCTATAAAAATGCATAGCGAAAAATGCGGTTACGTCGAAGGAAAATTGCAGCGTCTTCCGATAGATAGAACTGCCAAGAGCGCCGTTTAGCTTTGCAAGCTGGCTTTCCCCCAGCACGGGGACGCATTCGGGGAAAGCCAGCTTGCAGAAAAAGCTTGCCTTTTTTGGGCGGGAGGGAGGGAGGGAGGGAAGGGGGGGGGGGGGGGGGGGGGCAACCGCGTCGGCCCCTTGGAAGTGGGGAGAGGATGATCCGGTGAGATCTTGAAAAACGAAGAAGCGGCCACTGAATAGCCATGTGGAGTGTCCCTTATGACGTACAGACGCTCCTTCGAGAGTAAACAACTTTTCTAAATATGTCGTGTTTGTTTGTTGTCAGATTCATTCAAACTTTCATGTAGAATTACCCGCTATATCGAACTGGTAGACAGTCTTTTGCGAGTTCGACATAAGTGGGTTTGACTCTATAGCAATTCGTAATCATCGCCATCAAAAACCCTAGAAAAAAGTAATGTAATTTTTTTACACTTATGCCTGACTGCACGGGCCGCTAGCAAACGCCAAGCAGGCCGCGTGTTTGAGACACAACATATGGTGCCCCTCTCCTATCTAATGTTTGAGCAAGCCAAGATAAAACCATTAAAAAAGAAGTACAATGCTGATGCAGAATTCAGTTTAGAGAAAGTGATTAAGAGTGTTCAAACATCCTACCAGTCATTGAGAGTACTAATATACATCACATATTACAACCCTGCTTTTATTTGCCACTGCATGACAAGTACTTTGAGGTACTGTAATTTTAAACAATACCGACTGGGAGTTAACAATGTTCCATGGGCACATTGAAGTGACCAGATAAATGGGCATATTTCGCTGATATATTACAAGATAATGCCTGAAAGCGGTGGTTTTAATATTTCAAAGATACGGATATAAACCCCCTTGCGTCAAAAAGAAGAAAGAAGAGAATTGTTGCAAATTGCAACAATTCTCTCCACGAAAAAAAAATTTCGCAGAGCTTTTTTTTTTTTCTTTTTTTTTGTGAAGACATCAGTTTATTCAGGGTCACTATAGCATGTACTGCAACTGCAAATGATTGTAATAAAAAGGAAATGCCCTACGCATTGCTTACTTCATATAGCCGAAATAAAGGCCAGTGGCACAAAAAAAATATATAAATCTGGTGTTGGCACGCAAAAAATAAAAAAAATATAGCTTTTGTGTTTTACCGAGGTTACCTAATCTTCCTATATTTTACTGAAAGCTTCCACCATTATGTCACAGCTGTGTGCTCAATCCTATCAGTTTT